ACTTTTTCTACCTTCCTATACAATGACATTTTTATGACATTTTTATTCCTTACTATAATATGACATTTTTGTGCGTTTTTATGGCTTACTATAATATGACTTTTTCTACCTTCCTATACAATGACATTTTTATGACATTTTTATTCCTTACTATAATATGACATTTTTGTGCGTTTTTATGGCTTACTATAATATGACTTTTTCTACCTTCCTATACAATGACATTTTTATGACATTTTTATTCCTTACTATAATATGACATTTTTGTGCGTTTTTATGGCTTACTATAATATGACTTTTTCTACCTTCCTATACAATGACATTTTTATGACATTTTTATTCCTTACTATAATATGACATTTTTGTGCGTTTTTATGGCTTACTATAATATGACTTTTTCTACCTTCCTATACAATGACATTTTTATGACATTTTTATTCCTTACTATAATATGACATTTTTGTGCGTTTTTATGGCTTACTATAATATGACTTTTTCTACCTTCCTATACAATGACATTTTTATGACATTTTTATTCCTTACTATAATATGACATTTTTGTGCGTTTTTATGGCTTACTATAATATGACTTTTTCTACCTTCCTATACAATGACATTTTTATGACATTTTTATTCCTTACTATAATATGACATTTTTGTGCGTTTTTATGGCTTACTATAATATGACTTTTTCTACCTTCCTATACAATGACATTTTTATGACATTTTTATTCCTTACTATAATATGACATTTTTGTGCGTTTTTATGGCTTACTATAATATGACTTTTTCTACCTTCCTATACAATGACATTTTTATGACATTTTTATTCCTTACTATAATATGACATTTTTGTGCGTTTTTATGGCTTACTATAATATGACTTTTTCTACCTTCCTATACAATGACATTTTTATGACATTTTTATTCCTTACTATAATATGACATTTTTGTGCGTTTTTATGGCTTACTATAATATGACTTTTTCTACCTTCCTATACAATGACATTTTTATGACATTTTTATTCCTTACTATAATATGACATTTTTGTGCGTTTTTATGGCTTACTATAATATGACTTTTTCTACCTTCCTATACAATGACATTTTTATGACATTTTTATTCCTTACTATAATATGACATTTTTGTGCGTTTTTATGGCTTACTATAATATGACTTTTTCTACCTTCCTATACAATGACATTTTTATGACATTTTTATTCCTTACTATAATATGACATTTTTGTGCGTTTTTATGGCTTACTATAATATGACTTTTTCTACCTTCCTATACAATGACATTTTTATGACATTTTTATTCCTTACTATAATATGACATTTTTGTGCGTTTTTATGGCTTACTATAATATGACTTTTTCTACCTTCCTATACAATGACATTTTTATGACATTTTTATTCCTTACTATAATATGACATTTTTGTGCGTTTTTATGGCTTACTATAATATGACTTTTTCTACCTTCCTATACAATGACATTTTTATGACATTTTTATTCCTTACTATAATATGACATTTTTGTGCGTTTTTATGGCTTACTATAATATGACTTTTTCTACCTTCCTATACAATGACATTTTTATGACATTTTTATTCCTTACTATAATATGACATTTTTGTGCGTTTTTATGGCTTACTATAATATGACTTTTTCTACCTTCCTATACAATGACATTTTTATGACATTTTTATTCCTTACTATAATATGACATTTTTGTGCGTTTTTATGGCTTACTATAATATGACTTTTTCTACCTTCCTATACAATGACATTTTTATGACATTTTTATTCCTTACTATAATATGACATTTTTGTGCGTTTTTATGGCTTACTATAATATGACTTTTTCTACCTTCCTATACAATGACATTTTTATGACATTTTTATTCCTTACTATAATATGACATTTTTGTGCGTTTTTATGGCTTACTATAATATGACTTTTTCTACCTTCCTATACAATGACATTTTTATGACATTTTTATTCCTTACTATAATATGACATTTTTGTGCGTTTTTATGGCTTACTATAATATGACTTTTTCTACCTTCCTATACAATGACATTTTTATGACATTTTTATTCCTTACTATAATATGACATTTTTGTGCGTTTTTATGGCTTACTATAATATGACTTTTTCTACCTTCCTATACAATGACATTTTTATGACATTTTTATTCCTTACTATAATATGACATTTTTGTGAGTTTTTATGGCTTACTATAATATGACTTTTTCTGCCTTCCTATACAATGACATTTTTATGAGTTTTTATGCCTTACTATACTGTTACATTTTATGCTTTACTATACTGACATTTTTTTGACTTTTTATGCCTAACTATGACTTTTTATGCATTACTATACTATGACATTTTTTTTGCCTTACTATAATATGACATTTTATGCCTTACTATACTATGACATTTTTATGACATTTTATGCCTAATTATAATGACTTTTTATTCCTTATTATACTATGACTTTTTATGCCTTACTATACTAAGACATTTTTATGCCATACTATAATATGACTTTTTATGCCTTACTATACTCAGACATTTTTTTGACTTTTTATGTCTTACTGTACTATGACCTTTTATGCCTAACTATAATATGACATTTTTAAGACTTTTTATGCCTTACTATACTGTGACTTTTTTATGACTTTTTATGCCTTAGTATACAATACTTTTTATGCCTTACTATACTATGAAATTTTTGTGAGTTTTTATGCCTTACTATACTGTGACATTTTATGACTTACTATACTGACATTTTTTTGACTTTTTATGCCTAACTATAATGACTTTTTATGCATTACTATACTATGACATTTTTTTTGCCTTACTATAATATGACATTTTCTGCCTTACTATACTATGACATTTTTATGAATTTTTCTGCCTTACTATACTATGATTTTTTTTTATGACATTTTATGTCTTACTGTACTATGACATTTTCTTGCATTACTATACTATGACATTTTTATGACTTTTTATGCCTTGCTATACTATGACTTTTTCTGTCATACTATAATTTGACTTTTTATGCCTTACTATACTATGACATTTTTATTCCTTACTATAATGACTTTTTATTCCTTATTATACTATGACTTTTTATGCCTTACTATACTATGACATTTTTTTGCCTTACTATAATATGACATTTTTTGCCTTACTATACTATGACATTTTTATGAATTTATCTGCCTTACTATACTATGACTTTTTCTGCCATACTATAATATGACTTTTTATGCCTTACTATTGTATGGCAGAAAAAGTCATAGTATAGTAAGGCAGAAAAATTCATAAAATGTCATATTATAGTAAGGCAAAAAAAATGTCATATTATAGTGACTTTTTTATGACATTTTATGTCTTACTGTACTATGACGTCTTCTTGCATTACTATACTATGACATTTTTATGACTTTTTATGCCTTGCTATACTATGACTTTTTCTTCCATACTATACTATGACTTTTTATGCCTTACTATACGATGACATTTTTATGACATTTTTATTCCTTACTATAATATGACTTTTTCTGCCGTACTATACTATGACATTTTTATTCCTTACTATAATTTGACATTTTTGTGAGTTTTTATGCCTTACTATAATATGACTTTTTGTGAGTTTGTATGCCTTACTATACTGTGACATTTTATGCCTTACTATACGATGACATTTTTAATGACGTTTTCTGCCGTACTATACTATGACATTTTTATTCTTTACTATAATTTGACATTTTTGTGAGTTTTTATGCCTTACTATAATATGACTTTTTGTGACATTTTATGCCTTACTATACTATGACATTTTTTTGACTTTTTATGCCTAACTATAATGACTTTTTATTCCTTATTATAGCATTACTTTTTATGCCTTACTATACTATGACATTTTTTTTGTCTTACTGTACTATGACGTTCTCTTGCATTACTATACTATGACATTTTTATGACTTTTTATGCCTTGCTATACTATGACTTTTTCTGCCATACTATACTATGACTTTTTATGCCTTACTATACTATGACATTTTTATGACTTTTTCTGCCATACTATACTATGACTTTTTATGCTTTACTATACTATGACATTTTTATGACATTTTATGTCTTACTATTATATGACTTTTTCTGCCATACTATATTATGATTTTTTTTGCCTTACTATACTATGACTTTTTTATGACTTTTTATGCCTTACTATACTATGACATTTTTATGACATTTTTATTCCTTACTATAATATGACTTTCTATACCTCAATATATTACATTTTTATGACTTTTTATGCCTTACTATAATATGACTTTTTCTGCCTTCCTATACTATGACATTTTTGTGAGTTTTTCTGCCTTCCTATACTATGACATTTTTGTGAGTTTTTCTGCCTTCCTATACTATGACATTTTTGTGAGTTTTTATGCTTTACTATACTGTGACATTTTATGCCTTACTATACTATGACATTTGTTTGACTTTTTGTGCCTAACTATAATGACTTTTTATTCCTTATTATACTATGACTTTTTATGCCTTACTATACTAAGACATTTTTATGACTTTTTATGCCTAGTATATTAAGCCATAAAAAGTCATAGTATAGTAAGGCACACTTTTTATACCCTACTATAGTATGACTTTTTTATGACTTACTATACCTTACTTCCTATACTTAATACTATACTATACAGGTTATTTTAGTGACGTTATTCTTGTAATTAGCCTCAACTGGAACTCACAGGTTTGATCACAGGTAAACTGACTTTTGCTCTATTGAGGTTGAACATTGAGGCCTGTTTTTCCACCCAACCTTTTTGTTTTTAATCATATACTTCATTTTAAAAATAATACAATCATTGTAAGATGGCACAATTTCAGTCATTTAACATTTTAGTCAAGGTCAAGGTTTTTTAAAATCTGTACAGTACAAAACTCCCCCTGAACTCACCACTGCCAAGGGTGTCAGTCGATTGAGGCCTCAAGAAAATATCCACGTACTCCTGGAACGGGACATCCACTGGAATGACATGACAATGAGTCAGCAAATGTGTCATTGTAAAAAACAAAAAACAAATGCTTTAGTGACTGTCAGATCATCATAGCGTAGCAGGAGTGAGTGTTAGTCATACATACTGTACCTTTCCTGTACGAGTAAGTGTTAGCTGTACTGAGCCTCACTCTCCGGTCACCATAGTGCTGTAGTAAACTTGACTTGGAGCACATCAACTTGAATTTCTAAAACACAGTCAACACACAGGTATTTAACTCCAGTGCTAACAGTGCAGGCCTGAAGTGTCGGGACAGTCTGACTTGTAACGATGACCATGAGGCTTCAGTACAAACTGTGGGTGTTTATATCTAGCTGAACACTGAAATAACTAATATTTAAAACTCAACAAACATCAAACACAATGAAAAGACCTTATGTCCCCCCCCCCAACCTATTTTTTTAAAAGGTCCATATAGTATAAAGGTCTCTGTCCATGTGTAGTTTGATTATAGATCAGTGTGAAAGTATCAAAGCCTCAGTCCACAGAGAAATGCACACAGCCTGTATTCAGCCTTAAAACCAGCCGTCAGGACTTCCTGAACTTTGTGATGTCACAACAGAACAGTCAGTGGACAATTTTCTCACTTCATACATACGGTTATTAAAAAAAACATCAGCAATGAGTCAGCAAATCATTTAAATCGTTAAATACGCACCGTGTTATCAGTCAGGCCTTTGAGGATGACTGGTCTCCTGTATGCATATCTACAAGAGAAAATCCTTTTAGCTCATGTAGCTTCAGATTAACGATAAACCAGACAGGCGCTCATTTTATCTCCATGAATCAGATTATGTACAAATATAAATGTATACAGATTTATATATATATTATTATTTCGTATGTATCCAGATGTCCACAATGCATGCAACATGTAATGGTCTATTGACAGAGATATTTTCCCATGTTTAATTCATTTAGATCATTTATTTACTTTTTGTTTTAATTCATTGTAAAACATTTTTAGAGGCTCAGAGTTTACCTACATGAAACAGTGTGTTTTTTAAAAATACTTTCAGTTAAGTTCTTTATTCGCTTCAACATAGTTCCCATTTTGCAAAGTGTAAAATATGGACCTTCAATGGATATAAACATCCAGCTTTACGTACCTTTCAATGAACTGTTGATATGAGAGAGAGGAGCTGTCAAACACATCTATGTTACAGGGACCTTCATCCTGTAATCTGAAATCTGAATTTAAAGACCTGAACACAGAGGCAGACACAAAGATGAGAATAAAAACACCTCCACGTCTGTTGTTGTGTGTTCTGATATTCTTACATAGAAGAATCACAAATAAATAAAGTCTACACCAAAATTACCTCCTCCCATAATCCCAGATGTAAACTTGAATGACAGGAAATGTAACTAGAGCTGCAACCATTAGTTGATTAATCATTTGACGAAAATTTAAAGATAACAGGTTTGAAAATTGATTGATGATTTATTATTTGGACAAAAATTCAAAAATTTTGCTGGCTATAATCTCTGAAATATGAAAATTTTATTCTTTTCTTTTTATATCTTTAATTTATTTGGATTTTTTTTGGGATTGTTGGTGAAATCAAAACACAAAATCAGAACACATCATCTGGGCCTTTTGGGGAATGTGGGTATTAATCAATAATGAAAATACTGACTGATAGATAATATAACAGACTCATCTGTGAGGAGCGAAAATTATTGTTAGTCTTCTTAACCTAATGTCAGAAAATACAAAATTGGAGGACACCCACAACAAGATTTTTGTTTTTTAAAGTTGACATTTGATATTTATGCTCATTTTGCATCTAATCTTAACTATTTTGAGTCTCTTTGTGTTTATTTTGCATCTATTTTTAGTTGTGTATTTAGAAGCTATGGAAAAAATTAAAATATTTATGAAAAATTCATGTATTAGACATTAACAATCAAAGTAGGTGAGCTCGATGAGACCAATTTAATATCATTTTTATTCTTTATCACAATTTTCACTAATATGAAGGTGCATAAAAACACATCGGTATTATGTCATTAAAACAGTAATTTAATGATGGTCCCTAAGTGAACAACCAGCGGAGGTGTAGGAGTGTAGTAGGGACGTGAGCTAACCGTCCTCACGAGCGACTATCTGTCGAATATCGAACTTTAAACTAACTCTCACTAAGACAGCCGTTAAACCGACAGATTTTTAAATGAAGTTTGGTGTGACGTCAGTCAGAATGGCGGTTAACGCTACATAAGAAGACAGTAGAAGACACTTTGCGGTACATTCAATATTACAGGAGATTTAAAAGCTGAAAATTGAAAATATTCTTTAAAGGACTTCTAGAACATGTCGGTTTATTGCTGAAACAGGTCTGTGAACTCACCAGCCTCCTCCGTCATCTGTCCGCTCCTCTGCCCTCAATACGACAAGGAGACATATCACAACAAACTGTGTGCAGGTGGTTATTACAGCCTTTTTATGTTCCATTCAAAACGGAATCACAGAAAACTTAAATTTAACAAAATAAAGCCTGTATGAGGCGAATATGTCACATAAACACAGGGCATGAACTGTCTTATCGCTTCCTGCCGGAGCTCCAATCAGAAAGCACCACATTAAGCTGACCGGGACTGTGCTGCATTCAGGGTACATGGGAACTATGGGCTCTAAAACTCTGTCAAACCCAGGCTGCAGTGCGCATACAAGTAACACTGGATAGGAAAGATAAAGTAAATATACGAAATAATAATATTAAGAATAACAATTCATTCATTTTCTGGGGGGGTGGGGGGCTGGAGCCTATCCCAGCAAGAATAACAATATATAAGAAAATATTAAATAAATGAGTAATAAATAAATAAAAATTTAATAAAATAAAATAAAATGATCATCACTATTATTATAATCTGTTCTCTTAATGAGAGATTAACAAAATAATTGTCTCAGAATTCTGAAATAATGATTTTGTTACTTAAGAAAAACAGAGCAGCAAAAATCCTCTGTTTTCTGAATTAAGGAGTTAATTAATATCCTTTTTTCATCACGTGAATGTATTACACTTCCTCTCCTTTATATTTTCCTCACAGAATGAGGCGAACATGCGTTTATTTTACAGCATCAAAACACCAAATATTAAGAAAAAAAGAATTTATTTAACATTATACAGTCAAAAGGCCCAAGATACAAATCATTTCATATTGTTCTTAAAATGCATTCAAAAATATTCACTTTAAAAACACCTTTACACACAGATACCAAACAAGTAGGAACACCTGTACAGTGCAATCCAATATAATCCAACTGTGAATATAATTTTGATGTACTTCATGTAAGCTATGCATAGACAGTAAATCACAGTTGCAGTTTCTTAGTGCAAAAGTAATCTGAAGGCAGAAAAGTTACAGTAACGGATCAATGAGAGAATAAAGAGGTAACAGAGTTTACAGATGTTTCTTCACCGTCACGTCACAGGTTCAAGTTTATAAAATCCACCATCAGTGCAAATGTTTCATATTTGTGCTCAAAAACAAAAAAAAGAAATTCAGGTAAAACAGCAGAGAGTCAACATCTAATCAAAGACTTAATATAGTTTCTATATTGGATCAACTTCAGGCTAAAACCTGTTTAGTTAAATGGCTGTGTTAAGAGTCTGTGCATGGAATAATTATAAATTTAAACTAGTGTTTAATTATGATCAGTCATTACATCTTAAATAGGTACAATAGATACAAAATAGCAATTAAATGTACAAATTCTATTTATTTTCTTGTTCTGTCTTTAAATTGTGAATTAATAGTTATTGTTTTTGTAAAATTAAACATTAATTCAAAAGAGCTTTTTTACTTTTTAATTTGTGTCAGTTGAACATGTTCCAGATTACAATTAATTTGTTTTATAAATTAACATTAATTTGAAGGTGACACACATCTTTCACATAATTAAATTTAAATGATCATAAAATGGAAACGTTAAATGTTAAAGGAGAAAACAAATGAACAGTTTAATTGAATATTAATAAATTTGTTAAATTAGTTCATTAAAATTCTTGAATTCATAGTTTAAAGGAAATACAGTTATTAACTGGTAAATTTAATGATCTTTTGATTCATTTTACAAACAAAAATATGCGAAAACATTCGCTGTCATTTATTTTCCTTTAAATAGGAACAAGTGCTGAGTGTGTGTTTTACTTAAAAAAAAAACAAATCAGTTCAGAAGTGGAAAAGGTGGCGTCAAACTAAACATGCCTGTAGAGCTTCACATTCAATTCTTTCATCATGACTGACGTGTTTTCGGTCACAGCTCGTTATCAGAGCTTGAAAGGGGTCGACAATAAACTGCGTACATCCAACACAAACAAGGCAGTGGCCTGACTAAACACAGGTGTGCAGCAGACTACAAATATCAGCACAGGGCGAGTAAAAGGACAATAAGTACAATCACTGCATCATAGATCAAGAGCCAAACATTGTTATGAGACAGGTCTCGTTAAGACCTGGAAGGACCAGAATGTTGAACCTGTCAGTCTTTTCCGCTTGCTGCTGTTTGAGAGTGCACACATGTTTCAGGAGTGGTTTGCTGCACACCTATGTTTAGTCAGGCCAGCGCCTTGTTAACCTTGTATATGAGCAGCTGATTGTCCTGCTGTGATGAAACATGTCAGCCATGAAAACAAATAAAACATGAAGCTCTACAAGCACTTTTCTGGACTGATTCTCTAATTCTACTAATTCTAGCTTTTAAAGAAAGGAGGATTTGCTTTTTTACTTTGTTTTATATGATGATAAAAAACAAAACTCTTAACAGACTGATTAATCAGTTCGTTTAGATTTAGGTTCCTGATGCACTTTTTTTGTTTGTTTTAAGAAGAATGAATCTCAAAGTATATGAGGCCATAAACTTCATTCAGCTGGATGTTTTTCCAGTTATTCGACTCTACACTGGAGCATTAATCCGACCAGACAAACTCTGGCATCATGAAACCTCCTATGAGAGGACGAAGAGAGAGAGGAGGACGGGGAGGACGACTGCGGTGGCTGCACCGACGCTGGAGGAGCCTGAGAAGGTGACGAAGCCCGGCTGGTTGGTGGAGATCTGGCTGTTGATCCAGGTCTGATACTCTGACACACGGGCGTAGACTCCTGGGAAACTGGGTTCAGCACAGCCGATTCCAAAACTCACCACTCCGGCCTGGACCCACCTGGATCCGTCTTTACTCACCATGGGGCCGCCTGAGTCGCCCTGCACAGGTGAAACATCACGGTTACTATCACCAGGAAATGTGTCAATACACTGGAAACCATGACATTCAGTAGAGGAAGACGTACTCAGATTCCTCACTAACGTAAAAGTAGTAATACCACAGATTAAAAAACACAAGAACACGTTATATTGTTGGATTATTACTGATGCAGGATTTTAAAGAACATGGTTTCTGCAGTGTTCAACAAATTACATTCAAAAAGTTTTAACACCTTTTTTAGAATATAGTTTAAAATCTCTTACAAAGTCAGAATGAAAAAAATCAAGTCTAAAGATTATTTATTAAATACATGAATTTATTGGCATTTAATCACATTTCTCAGTAGTTCCCAGCCGTATGTTCCCATGATTCTTAGTAATATAATGAAACAATTAACGCAGGTAGAAGAGACTGTTTCTTGTTACAGAACTAATTAAATTAATAATTAATTTTTTAATTTAAGATTTTTGTCTGAGTGGATGAGCTTTTGATAAAGATTTATTCTGTTGAACCTTGAAAGAAGTTTTCTGAGTGAACTGAATTTGATGCTTTCTAAGACCCGGAGGTTTTAAGTGTTTATGAGTAAAATATACCTGAAGTATCAAAAGTAAAAGCACTGGTTCTGCAGTAAAATGCCTGTGACTGATCTCTGATTCTGACTTTATTAGATGTTAAGTTGACAGGAGTGTCAGCAGACAGACTCACCTGGCAGGAGTCCTTCCCTCCCTCAGGTAGACCGGCGCAGATCATGTTGCTTGTGATTCCAATGTTGCTGCTTGCGTAGGATTCGTTGCACTGACTGTTGGACACGACGGGAACATCGACCTCCTGCAGCCTCTGAGGTGAAGGAAGAGGAACTGACGAAGGAAAGAGACGTGAGTATTTACAGAACTGAAGGTTTGAGGTCTGAACTCCTTTAAACCTTTAATAGAAAGTTCCACACTTTGTGAGACATGTTTGTTTGTATCACACCCTGATCTGATGAACTAGAATTACTCTCCTGAGTATTTGTTGTTGATTTAAATATCATTGGATAATAATAATAATAATAATAATAATAATAATTACCGTTGCTCTGAACGGTTCCCCAGCCGGTGACCCAGCAGGTCGTCCCGGCCCTGAAGACGCTGCCGTCCGCCGCCAGACACACGGGTCTGATGTAGTTGGTGAAGTCTACTGGTGAGGACAGTCTCAACAGGGCGATGTCGTTATCATTCGTACGGCTGTCATAGTTTGGATTCCTGATGATCTCGGACACTGTCCGGGACACCTCATTAGCATTTGTGCCTTCTTGGGTTTCACGTCCGAGGTAAACCAACAAACCAGCAGTGCTGGTGCTGAGGAACACAACATGACAACACGTGAGTGATGGAACCAGGAACACATCTGCTGCCAATAGACAACGTTGAATAAATAAGACATCTTAAATATGATTTACTCATTTTTCATTCTTATTTTTATTTTGTGAAATTGTTTTATTGGAGTTCATGCACTGTAAAACATCATGTAGGGATGTAGTGGAATCAACACATACTCTCTCATTAACTCAACCTGGTTGGTTCATGATGAGTGGCTTTAAAGTGTCGGTCTACAACACCTTCACTGTATTTCCTCTTTGTTGCGTTAAATCTCTTGTTTGTTCTCTGTGTTCGGACAGGTGAGGTGCTGAGGGATGTGTCAGAGCTCACCTGCGGAAACAGTGAGCAGCCGTCAGGACCCACTGGTTGTTGATGAGGGAGCCTCCACAGAAGGGAAAGTTGTTTGAGTGCAGACTGGCCTGCCATGGCCACGCCCCTGCAGGAGCATCCTCACCCCCTACGATCCTTGTGTTGAGAGGGGCGGAGCCACAAACTGGAGGGAAACAGTCAAAGTTCATGTGACCACAGTTGGTCTGAGCTGTTTCTGTGAAGTGTTTGTTGCTGTTCTGTCCCTGCGCTGTCATTGGTGGACGTTCTGTTATACTCTGGCTCCACCAGCTCTGTGGATCACAGTGTCTGGTCCAGACTGGAATATCTCAACAACTATTGAACAAATTACATCTACATTTCATGCAGACGTTCATGTTCCCCTGAGGATGAACCCTCCTGGTTTTGGTGATCCTCTGACTTTTCATCTAGCTTCCACCAGCAGGACAGGTTTTCATCGAATCTGTGAAATATCTCAACATTTACTGAATTCATCCTCATGAAATTTCATGCAGACATTCATGTTCCCCAGAGGATGAATCCTACTGATCTTGTTGGTCCTCTGAATCTTTCTATAGCGCCACCATGAGGTTGACATTTTTGATTTTGAGTGAAATACCTCAACAACTACTTGATGAATCACCACAAAATTTG